AGGGGGAAGTGGGTGGGGGGGGGGGAATTAGTTAGGGAATGGCTATAAATAGGGGGGGAGAGAGACTTAGTAGGAGGCAATTATTGAGTGAGTAGAAGGGAAACCTTTAGGAGAATTATAGCCCTCTCGAATGGCTAATTGTTCTTTACTTTCTTTGTAATTTTTTTGCAATTCAATCAAAGTTCATTTCACTATTTCCTGTCATTATTTTCTTTACTGCTGGAACTCTATCAAGCTCCTGTTAAATAGCATGCAACCCAAAATGAAAAGCAGGGGAAGGACTTTAACTATCATTTTCAACTCAAGAATATGCTGTGATGTTGACCTTGTAGTTGGCAACCTCATTTGCATACATTTCCCTTGGTATGAGCTGCATAGGTTTCTTTACTGCTTTGAATTGTGCGAATTTGAGGCAATTTTGAAACAATGGCAGGGATTATGTTGACTGATCCTTATGAAATCCACCTATTTTGTTCACTTTGGTTATGTTTAACACACCGGATTAGGCCGTTCAAAGATAAAATTATAATTGGTATTACTAGGTAGAGGTGGATAATGTTCTCAAATTTTTCATTCAATAAAAATGCAGTTGACTATATCTTCTTATCCGGTCTAAATCCACCTCCAACCTCTTTGTTATTTTATTTGGTTGATAGTGCAAATGACTATCATTTTGCATTTGTAAAAATTGATGAGATATTCCTTTATCAACCGCCATCTTGTTCAGAATCAATATTCTAAACCTTTTTAAAAAATACAAAAAATTCAGTATCTTCTTACAAATCAGTGAATTAGCTAGGATTACTTGTATAGAATAACAAGAGTTGCGTCAATTCTCATGTGGCACTTTTTTGACGTCTTCTGAATTAATTAGCAAACTTGTTTGTGTTCTAATTTGCCCTTTCATTTACTGGAATGATTAAACTGAGGGAGCTCTTCCTTGATAGACTTTTATATTCAAGCTTGTAACTAATGATACAAGTTTAAGGTGTTGGTATTGATCTCTGAAATTTATGAACTGCAACACCCGGCCACTTATTGGATTTTCTTTCCTTTTCAACCGTAAATTTAATAATTAAATAATGCTGCCATGATATGAAAAAACTTCAGCCAGATTATACGTATATGCATATCCAGATCTTCTCTCATAATAATATCCTTTAGAAGATTTGTTCACAAATTGTCAGTCATTGGGAATCAAGAATATTAACTATAGCCTTGTAACGATGACAGTTCCCAAAAACAGTTTCTTATCAGAGGTTATGTCCATTTTCTTCAATATTAAAGGTTGAACTTCAATCTTGAGAGTCCCCACCGTTCCGTCTCTAGAGTTTTGTGAGAGAGGTAAATCGCGGAATGTACTCCAACAGGTCAGGGAACAAGATTCATCTGTACACTACGCCTAAAAGGAGTCCAATTCTATATTTCAGGAATCGAACCTCTACACTGCCACTGCCAGCAAGACGTGAGATAACCTCACTCCTGTACTTTGCATCACTAGGCTATGCCCCATTTTCTTCAGTATTATTAATGAGAGTGCTGGCTGCAGTTATGCTTATAGCATCTCTTTGTTTCTATCATTTTTTCTCTGAGGCAACATCAAATTTTGTGCCATTTTCTGTCGCGGGAAGAAGGTACAGGTGAAAGAGATAGGTGAGGTCATTTTATGCACATATTTTACCGGGATCCAGCTCTGATTTCAAATTCTGGCTTGAAATAAACAAGAAGCTAAGGATGGAGCGGTGCAGCTCGAGTTCTTTCCCTCTGATGCTGGTTTTTCAGGACGAGTACCTAAAATTGCCCGAGGTGGATAGAAGAAACAAAGCCGAATCTGGGGTGATCAAAGCTTGGCTAGTCCACGAAATGCTGTTCTTGAAAACTACTCTTCTCAAAATTAAGTCTGGAATGTAAACTTGACTTAAATTTTGAGCAAAATATTATACCTTGACGTTTGTTTACATTGTTTATTGAATCGTAATTAATTTTCCGAAATCATATAAAGATATTAGCATTTTTTTTTTAATCTTAAATAGAATAATTAAAACAGACATTTGTCTTTCCATAGATAATTAAATTTAAAGTTACTTTGAGAAAGCAATTGCATTCACTCTATCAAAATAATTAGCATTTTTTTTCTTAATAAGAAATCATAAATAACACTTCTTCTTTTTTAAACTCATTTCTCTTTTACTTGTATATAATTTTTTATTTTTTATTTTTTTTATTTTTTCTTACTCTAGCCATTAAGCTCCCGTTTGGTTTTGATTTTTCATTCCAAAAAATGAAAATTTTGACCATTACTTTCAAGTCAGCTGCATTTTTTACTTCTTCATTCACAGATGAAATTTATTTTTCTCTCTAATGATCATAAAATTAGGGGATGTTTGATAGGTATTTTTATGTAAAAATGCATTTTAGAATAGTAAATTGATGTGAAATGTGTGATTGAAAAATAAGGAAATTTTTTTATTTACGCATAATATTATTTTAATAGAGAATGTGTGGTTGAAAAGAAAAGAGAAAAATACATTTTTAAAAAAATGGCTACAAAACGGGCTCTTAATATTCACAACCACCATCGATCGGGCCCTAAATCAATATTGATAATATATTTCCATATTTTTATTTGTGGAAATTGCATGACAACTAGTGTTTAATATTTAAAATTCATACACCAGGTTTTAAGTTTATTTGTTCAAATATCATGTATTAATTTAATTATAAAACCACTCACCCCCAACTTCCCCACCCACGAAATCCTAATTATTATTATTTCCTTCTCTCTCTCTACACTCTCTCCGTTCTCTCTATACTCTCATTCCTCTGTTATTTTTCTTATATACCACCGAATCACTGTCGACAACGATGCCTCGTCCACGGTGACTGCAACGTGACAGCACCGTTCGCACAGCATGACAAGACCTAGCCATTTGTCATCCAATTTTCAAAGATCGTCTTGTGCTTTCGACGCTCTGTTCGCATGACGATCTAAGTGTTTGTAGTGACAATCTGAGTGGTGATTTTCATGATGTTGGCGGTAGGGTGGTTCTTCATCTTCTCCTCTCCCCCAACCCATCCCACCCCTTAAACTGAACTAGAATCAAACCGTCGCCACCGTCGTTGTCAATAGCGATAGCCACTCGTCATCGCTAACTCCGGTCCTTTCCACCACCACTCGCTGCATTGCGAACCATGACCATCGTCGACCTAAACCTCAAAAAGCAAACACAAATCCACTGTTCATCTTCCAAGTTTCCGAATGAGTCCTCAAGGTACCCAAGATGGAAAATCTAATTGCTGAAGTGTAAATGAGCCATCCCCATCCAGATTTAAAGTATTTTAGTAAAATTCAAAGAGGCGAATTTTACGAGCCAAATCTTGTTAAAGCCTGTGGAAGGACTTAAATTTACGTCCTTGAAGTGGGTTCATAAATTGTTTGGGGGTGTTTTGCTAGGTTCGTGGGGGAAATAGACTACCCCATGACGACGTGGAATGGAGTCACCATTGAAGAATTTTTCAAATATAATTTACTGCCTATTAAATTGTGACATTAAAATTCAATTGTTTGTGACTTAAAAAAAGTAATTCGTGATCATCAAATTTGAAAATATTTGATCTGTAATCTTAAAATTTGATCGTTTGTGACTTAAAAAGTAATCTATGACCATAAAATTTAAAAATATGTGACATGTGATTTGTAATTTTTTGGATTTGTAACCAATGACATAAATTGTATTCTATAAAATTTTTGATTTGTGATCTCGACATAATTTGTGACCAATTAATGTGATAATATGTGACTAATAAATAAATTGTGACCTATAATTATGTTTTTATGACCATTAATTGTATAAATGTGATTTCATTATATTTAATTAATAAATATTTTTAATTAATTAGTTAAAATCTGATTTTTGTATTAGTTAAATTTAATACCTGATTTTTGAATTGTGCATAGTTAAAACATATTTGTGAATTTTTTCCTTTTTATTTTTGTTATGAATGGGCTCAAATGCTGGGTTCAGTTTAAAGGAAATGATCCAAGTTAGTAAGCATACTGGGAAAGCCGAAAGCGTCGTCATTCACTTTATGTACGCATCAATACCATTACTAAATTGCCCCTAATAATATCAGTTAATTACACGCCCACGAACAAGTTACTATAAAAGGGAAAATTATTGTCGGAGCCCCCATACTTTGAGAAGTATAACACTTAGATCTTCGATGAATATAATAATACTTTCAATTTTGGAGCACATTGAATTACTACTTGATGGAATTCGGCTATTTCGTCAAGATGATGGAACTTCACGTACTTTGTTGTCGTGTTTTTCTTTTTCGTTCAATTTATTTTTTCCCCTTTCAACGAGAAATAAATATGATTTCAACACAATTGTCCTTAAAATAAATTATAATGTACTACTTTAGTAGCAAAAATAGCCCGATTTCATCTATTCGCCTATGCAAGTTTTGTGAGCCCATAAACCAAATATATTAATAACATGTTAGTCTCAAAAATTAGATGGCTTATTTTTAGAGTTTAGATATGTTGTTTCTAGTTCCCATCCTTTTTGTCGTCTTTGAATTAAAAAGTACAATGATATTCATCAGCATTTCTTGCAAAGTTTCTATTTGAACCCCAATTTTAAGGAAAATGGATTTTATAATTGTAATTTTTTTTTAAATTTGCGATTAAAAAATCATGGAAAATTTTGAGTTTATGTGTAAAATTATTTTATTGAAAGATTGTGTAATGAAAAAAATATTTGAGAAAAAAATGAATTTTTAAATAATGAAACTGAAACAATAACTTAAAACGGTGATATGATATTTTCAAAATCATTTAATATAAAGGATATTTTCGTAACTTGTGGTATTAGGTTTGCTAAAATATAAGTGGACATCCAAACATAAAAGTCTTAATATACCTATAAGCACATTTTATCCCAAACACGCATATATTTTTTCTACCTATAAAATGCTTGTAGTAGTGTTTGTTTGGAAATATATTATAATTTATGTAAATTATAAATAGATAGAAAATGATGACTAATATGTGGATAGTACTTATGAATCTCACAATGCCAAAATAAGTTTAACCATTTATGTCCATTATGCCATAAAAAATTGATCAGGGACCTAAATATTGGATTTCTAAATTTTGAGGACCCAAACTGTAATTTCTTTCTCATACGTTCTACGAGGTCACGATTGTAAATTGACCCCAATCATGTACTGCCGAAGTCTCCTCCTTTCTTTAAAATTCTGTTATAAACCCACCCTCTTCATATTTCCAATAATTCCATTCATATTCCGTCGCCGTTGTCCTCCTCTCCATGGCAGCTATCCCCCATCCAAACCCTAACCCGAATTTACTCTCCCCCATGCTCCAGCCATCCCTCGAGCAACAGCCGCTGGATGAAGAAACTGCTACTGAGAATGTAAAAGAAAGTCCCGTGTCTTCTATTGATAATTCAATTGTCTCGAACCCGAATACAAATCCAGTGTTGATTGACCGGTCGACGACGGCGCTCCTCCACGTGTCGTTCAACCAGGACTATAGCTGCTTTGCTGCCGGCACTGATCGCGGGTTCCGTATATACAATTGCGATCCCTTTGGTGAGATGTTTCGACGTGAGATTGATGGCAACGGTGGAGTCGGCGCTGTTGAGATGCTATTCCGTTGTAATATCTTTGCCCTTGTCGGCGGTGGTGATTCCCCACAGTATCCGCTTAATAAGGTTATGATCTGGGATGATAATCCTAACCGGTGTATCGGGGAGCTTTCTTTCGGGTCGGAGGTTCGTGGGGTTCGGTTGAGGAGGGACCGGATTGTGGTTGTCCTTGAGCAGAAGATTTTTGTGTATAATTTTGCAGATTTGAAAGTATTGCATAAGATTGAGACTACTGCGAACCCTAAGGGGCTATGTGCAGTGTCGCATGTGGCTGGATCATTTGTGTTGGTGTGTCCAGGGCTGCAGAAGGGACAGGTTAGGGTGGAGCATTATGCTTCGAAGAGGACTAAGTTTATTATGGCTCATGGTTCAAGGATTGCGAGCTTTACGCTGTCACAAAATGGAAATTTGCTTGCCACTGCCAGCACAAAGGGGACCCTGGTTCGAATTTTCAATACACATGATGGGACTTTATTACAGGAGGTAGCATTTTGTTAACGAGTCTTATGCTTTTGATGTTTCTAAATTATGTGTGCTTAACTTTGAGTTCTTGTTATAGCTTAATTTGTTCCGTTCGATGATCAATTGTTTTAACCAAGATTCGTTGCTGCAGAAAATGGACTCTTGATAAATCACAAGGAATAAAAAAATAATTTAAGCGTATATCGAAGTTATTCAAAGCTGAAATGCTATTGTTGGTGAAAATGGTTTTGGAAGGTGGTTTTGGTGAAAATGGTTTCGAAAGGAGCTCATGTAAATTTTAGGTCTTTTATCTTCAGATGATCCAGTTTCATGTGGGATGGGGTTTTAAAATATTTTCATACTTATGAGCTGATATGTATGTAATTCTGATGGGAGGGAGTAAGAATGTACTTTAATAAATGACTATTAGTTTAATATATGTCATGCTTCGTAGTAAATTTTCGGTAGGACAGAATGTGGTATTACCATTAGTTGAGATCAATGGTGCAGATGTGGACTTGCATTTTTTGATTGAATATGTCCCTGTATCTTTAGAACTTTTGAAACGGGGTACTGGCCTCTTGTTGGTTGTCATTCTAGCATCAATATCGGCAAAGCTTTATTAAATTTGTTTCATGGGTTTGTTGGTGTAGAATTGTGGTTTTGGAGTTAAAATCTTTAGCAAAAATAAAGTTCAAATTGAACTATGGAACTATGGAGTCAAATGCTGCTTTATGATGCATTGCAATTTATTAAGGGCCTTTGTTATGTAGATTTTTTTGAGAATAGGTTTTGTGAAAAGTATTTATTTGGAGAATATGTGGTTAAAAAATAGGGAAAGTTATAGGTCTACATGCAAAATTATTTTATTGGGAAAATGAGTGATCCATCATTTTGTAGATGGGCAAGGCTTGTGCCAGATCCTGACTAAGAGCACATTTGCATTGTGACAAACTAATATATTGTGATGTATCAATAAATTTTTTCCACCCCATTTTATCTAAAGTTCTTAGGAAATTTATTAGTTTTCAAGCACATAAGATCATCTTCCTCTTGTAAGTCACTGTTTCGAGGGATCGTGTCACTCTTGTGAAATCTGTGATTGGTTGGATTGAAAGATGACTGTTGTCTTTGATTTTAGAGCTCACTTTAAAAGCTTTTTTATAATATATAGGATTCATGATAGGAAAGCTATGTTTCTTGATATGATACTAATGCTAATGTTGTTATAATCTACGAAAGATTGCTTCTAGATGTAGCTGCTCTCATTTGGTTCATAGAAAAAATTACTGCTGGTTTGTTCCAATTTGGAAAAGCTAGTATGTCATATATAAGGCATAATTTGATGATATCCAAGAATTTGTTATTGTTGAAATTAACAAAGATTGCCAAGAACCTCTGCTGCAACTGAGGGGTTGTGTTTTTGTAGATCTTTTTCTATGTAAGCTTCTTTAAAACTTCAAATCTGTTGTCTTTTTATTTTTTATGAAATCCATGGGCAACTAGTTGGGAAGAAGAACAATTGTGCATTTTTGTTTCGCAAGTATTCAGGATGCATCATTCACGATGAACCTTAAACTTTACCTTTTCTATTGAAATGTGTTTGTTTGTACTTAATCAAGTTGTGCGTTCATGATATAAATATCTCAAAGAAGCTCTTGGCAATATGATGCAGGTAAGGAGGGGTGCAGACAGAGCAGAAATATACAGCCTAGCGTTCTCACCTACTGCCCATTGGCTGGCAGTCTCAAGTGATAAGGGTACCATTCATGTCTTCAGCCTTAAGGTTAACGCAGAAAACCTTGGAAATGCTAGGTCAAGCAGTCCTTCAGATTCAAATTCTGCTGTGACTTCACCAATTTCATCACTCTCTTTCATTAAAGGTAACATGGGTTCAAATTAAGCCTGAAAATAGTACTCCCTTATCTATCATTGCATTTTAGCCTCAGGTGGAATGTTATTGCTCAATAAACTGATACTTCATAAATTATTTATGTAAGGCATCAATTATCTGATAAAGTGGGATGATAAGATCAGCTACATCCCATTTATCTGATGTAGGAGTAATATGGAAAAAGCATGGATATAATATGAACACTGTGTGAACCCTTCATATATGATGGGAGACATAATATAACTGCTTGGAGAAGGGGGGAGATAATTTCTTGAAAGTGCACACAATTAAGCTTTATTTATCCCTAAATCCGCTCATTTGTGAAATGTGTTTGTCAAACGTGAACTGATTGCCAAAAAGGAATTATCAGCCCTTCACATGGGATGTCTTGAAAAACTTTGTAAACCGTCCTGTTTCGGTCAATATTATAAATAATGCATGCATTTCTGATATCTCATTATTGGCGCGACCAGATTTTAGAAATTGCTTTATAACTCTAGGTCATCTAGTCTTTCTGTCCGGGGGATTGGGTAGGTGGGAGGTTTCATTCTATCTTTGGCTATGCGAACATGGGCATAGATATTGAAGACATCCTGCCTTGCCTCGGTGACTAATTGTTGTTCAGGAAATTTTTGTTGGCCTTTGGGCTTTAAATAAAATTTTCATTTTGGCAGGAGTACTCCCCAAGTATTTTAGCTCTGAATGGTCCATGGCTCAGTTTCGTTTAATTGAAGGTTCCCACTATATCGTGGCATTTGGTCATCAAAAGAATACAGTAATAATTCTTGGCTTGGATGGAAGGTCAGCTAACGAAACTCTACCATATGATTTCTGTTGGTCGAAATTTCCTTGGCTTGCATGTCATTATCATTAAGTACCCTGAGACAAACCATTGATTTGTGAGTGAAATTGTATACAGTTTTTATCGGTGCAAGTTCGACCCAGCCACTGGTGGAGAGATGACGCAGCTTGAATATCATAATTTCCTAAAGCCTGATGAAGCTTTCTAGGAGAGTTATGCACAGTATATGTTTTCTGCAGTTATCCTTTTTCCCTGCTGGTTTCTTGGATTGCCATTTTGTAAATATCCAGGTGTAAATGTAACCAGCAGTCTCAAACTGGTCACCAATCCATAACTATTTTTGCAAAAACAAATGTGATGGGAATCCTATTAGTAATCATTAGGTTTTTTTTACTTTTCAAATTGGAGTCTTATATTAGGAAATAAAATTATGGTTTGATTTGATAGTTTTTTCGTATTTTTCTACTTAAATTAGGCTAGTTTAAATATTATATAAATGGACTTATGCATTGTAAAAGTTAAGACATTGATATGAAATAAATTGATATTCTCTCTCTCTTAATTCGCTATTATTTTTACTTCTTTTTCGTCGTCCTCTCCCTCTTTTTCTCAATCTAATTCTATATGAGTGTGTTCTACGTCGATGTGTGTAAAATGGATTGAAAAGAATTGTTGAATTTTTGGAGTGTTAAATTGGTACTTTTCATTTGCATTTTTTAAAATTTACAAATGAAAGGCTAACTTCCTGTCAAGAAAAATAAGAACGTTTAAATTGAACTTTAATAAATTTCAGAATCCATCCATTAAATTCCTGAATCCGCGCACACATGCTCTAAGAGGTGCTTGATGTTCACATCTTAATGGACAAATAATGAATTAATCTTAAGAAATACATAAAATTTGTTTTAAAAAATTTATCTTATATAATATTTGATAGAAAAAATTGGATAAAATTTGTTGATCTTAAGAAAAACATGATAATTGTGCTCAATCAACTGATTAAAAAACCAGTCAGTCGACATCCCCTTCAAAGTAGACAATAGTATTTATAGATTATTTGTTTTGTCAAAAATAATTTTAGTAGCCAACTCTTGGCTACATAAACTTAATGCATGTCTGGTTTGAATTAAAATTTGAATTTACTCTAAGTCAAAGTCAAACAATTAATAATTAATCACATTTTTCATGAGTTTCACAACTTATCAATCATATATTTCAAAATTTTCTATCACAATCGACAAAAAAATTTAATTTTAATCTCAATCAAACATTCTTAAAAATTATACCTACTATAAATACAATAAGATATGTCATTTAAACGCCCCCTTGGGGTATAGCCTAGTAGTGTAATGCAGTGTACGGACAGTTCTTGTTCCCTGACCTGTTGGGGCACATCCTGCGATTTACTTTCCTCGCAAAACTCTAGAGGTGAGACGGTGGGGACCCTCAAGATTGGGGATCAACCTTTTTTTTTTTTTAAAGATATGTCACTTAAACACCTCATTTCATATCAATCTTCGTTCAGTCAATATGCGTGTCTGAATCTAACATTTTGTAAAGGAAAATTAATGCTGGATCCCAACCTTTGCAGGAGTATGGATATAGATCTTCAACCTTTAAAAGTGAGGTCACGGATCCTCAACGTATTTAACATTCAAACTTTAGATCCATACTGGACGGAATCTATCTATTCAACGATTAAAAATTAATATTTATAAATATTGAAATGATTATTATAATCCTACTTAAAGAAAAGAATCAATTTTCTTTCCCATCTCCACAATCATTCCACGACGGCAGCCACTGTCAATCCCAACCACCACTTCCACCCGCACCATCCGCAAAAACCTAAACACCGTGAAGTAAATAAGTTAACTTGAATGAGGTCATAGGTCTGTAATGGATAATATTGTCCAGTAATTTGTTAGATTATTTGCCCGGGATATGTTTCAAGTGTCATATTGTCCACGGATGATTTTTGATATATCAAGAATATATAGTCTAGAATGGTTATCCCATTTTGCTGCAAACTCATTTTTCACATACTCGTCATATCATGCCAAATAATTATCACTAAATCCCTAAAAAAACTATTCAAAAGAGAGAAATTCATGAGTGTATTTGAAAGCTTCGAAGGGGAATACGGGAATCACTTTGATACCCTTTTGGTTTCTATTTTTATGTGGGTTGGAATTTGGGTTGGGGAGATGACGAATTCATCTTCTTCAAGCTAAATATATTTGTTACGTACCGATACACTTGGTCGATCCACTGGGCCCGTGGCCCACCTAAGCCAGACCGCATGGCATCATGACCGAGGCCTTAAGGCCAACGAAGAACACTCAACATCTAGAAGCAAAGCCTCCTGCGTGGCCCAACTGTTTGAGGATCGAAGTGCATTGATCGAGGTGGTTCATACCGAGGTCCTTGTGCGGAGGCCTAAGTTTTGAAGCACCTTTACCATCACCTTTCCCAAGAGATCTGGTCTTATACAAGAATCATTTTCGGGATAATATTATCCTGTAATTTGTTAGATGATTTGTCCGTAACATGTTTCCAATCTCATATTGTCCAGGGATGATTTTTGATATATCAAGAATATATAGTCTAGAATGGTTATCCGATTTTGGTGCAGACTCATTTTTCACATACTCGTCATATCGTGCCAAATAATTATCACTAAATCCTAAAAAAACTATTCAAAAGAGAGAAATTCATGAGTGTATTTGAAAGCTTCTAAGGGGAATACGGGAATCACTTTGATACCCTTTTGGTGGGTTGGACTTTGGGTTGAGGAAATGACTAATTCATCTTCTTCAAGTTAAATATACTTGTTACGTGTCGGTACAGTTGGTTGATCCACTGGGGCCCATGGCCAATCTAAGCCAGACCGCGTGGCATCGTGGTTGAGGCCTTAAGGCCAACGAAGAACACTCAAACATTCCGAAGCAAAACCTCTTACCTGGCCCAACCGTTTGAGAATCGAAGTGCATTGGCCGAGGTGGTTTATATCGAGGTCCCTATGCCGAGCCGAAGCTCTGAAGCACCTTGCCATCACCTCTCTCGAGAGATCTGATTTTACACAAAAAATCCTTTTCAAGTGATTGATGGGACGTTTATCATAGGGTACAAGTGTCTTGTCTTGTCAAATATAATGACGGCTCTGCCAATTAATAAATGTATAACAGGCTAGGTGGTAAAAAATGATGTATAGGATTAGATAGAAAAAATCTAAAAAGATGAGGCCACGTGTACTCTCAACCGAGGGATCACGATTCAACTTGTATTACCATAAATACCCCCATACTCCCATTGTAAGACTAATGCAAGATTCAATACAAGAACAATTACTACACATTTTACTCTCCTGCAATACAACCTAGTTTACATACAAGTTCGACAAGATAATTATTGTACAATCGTTCTACAAATGTATTGTTGGATTTCGAACTTTGTCGTCTCGCACCTTTGAGCTACTCTCACTCTTCTTTTTAGACCGTTCTAAACCCTTTTGTGTGTCTTAGCATGTTGGACTTTTACTTACAGGTGCGTGGGTGAGTCTGATATTTGTTGTCCACGTGGCTTTAATAAAAAACGAGGTCAACAATATTCACACAACAATTTTTAATAATTAGATTACATTATAATTGCATGAAAGGTTCATAAAAATTTCTCTCAAAAAATTATCTTTTCAAAACTCATTTTCAACCATACGTTCTCCAATAAAATATTATCACATGCAAATTGAAAAAAAAATCTTAATTTTTAACTACACATTCTCTAAAAATGATCATTCAAAAATGCATTTATTCTCTCCAAATGGGGCTCAAGCAATGTTTAAATATTTTACCTTCATTTTAAAATACTTTATAGTATTTTTGGACAAAAATCATGATTAAGGATAAGATTTTCTAATCAATGAAATGTTAAAAGTGAGAATGTGCTGGAGAAAAAAGTTACGGATATATGATAATGTACAAAGATTAATAACATTTACGGTGCGTTTGATTATCAATATTTTTCATGAAAAATGTTATTTTCCTTTCAAATTTCTACTTCGTTTGATTGACATTTTTTCTATAAAAAATATTTTCCTACTTCTAGTAAAGTGACAATATTTTCCTTGAAAACACGAAAATATTTTTTAGAGAGAATAAGATTTTATTTTTCATGAAATTCTCTCTCTCTCATCTATTCAACAATAAAAAAAAAACAGGTATAATGTTTTCAAGATCGAAAACTAAATCAATTAAATACATTTAATTAATAATTTTCCTATAAATAAGTTCTAAATAACTGAATTGTCTAATATTTATTTTCTTCCCATACAAATTTCATGTTTGGAATTAAGCACACTCTTAGGGTGTGTTTGATTACATTTATTTTCCATGGAAAATATCAGTTTTCCATCCAAATTTTCACTTTGAGTGTTTGATTAAAAACAAGTATAATGTTTTCAAGATCGAAAACTAAATCAGTTAAATACATTTAATTAATAATTTTCCTATAAATAAGTTCTAAATAACTGAATTGTCTAATATTTATTTTCTTCCCACACAAATTTCATGTTTGGAATTAAGCACACTCTTAATGTAATTAAAATGTAGTGTATTTATTAAAAAAATTGTTTTGTAAATTTTTCATATTATCTGTTATTTGCATTAGCATATTCTTTAAAAATAATAATAATAATAATAATAATAATAATAATAATAATAATAATAATAATAATAATAATAATAATTCTATTTTTCTTTTTAATGTGAAGTAAGGGCAAAATAGTAATTTAACATAAACTTTGATTCACTCCTATTTTTCCCAAAGTTATTCAGTGGATTGGACTGTTCCTCAAATTTTTTTCCATCGGTCAAAATCTCCTAAAAAATTTGAGTTCAATCTTCAAAATAGGTGGTGGTTCTTCTGGACGTGCCGTCGACAGCTCATCTTGCCGGCTTCTCTTCTGGCTCAGATTCTTTCGTTGTTTATGATTTTCCCGGACGATTTATCTGGCTCATTTAAGTTTTTGGTGGATCAGGGACTGTATGTGAGCGCTTGAAGAATTTTGACTCTTAAGTCGACTCTACCAGGTAGTACTTCCAGGTTCTGATAGTTTTTATCCTTCAACCTGAATATTCAAATTGGATGCTTAATGTAATTGGGTCAACATGTAAAATTGGTACATCCATAATTAAGACCTATTAATGTAAATGAGGACTAATTAATTGGAGAAGACATTGGTGATAATCCTCTGCATAGCAGTTTCGGATTTTTATATGGGGTTTATTTGTTTGACTGTAAGAAAGCTGTAATTTTTATGCTACATTGTTATGTGAGGAGACATTTTTGCTTAGTGCTTTTCTTCATCTGCTCGAGTTCATTAACAATTTGAAGGTTCTATCCTCAGTTTTGTTCTCGATTAAGGGTTGAGAAATGGTTGGAGCAGACTTTTACGATTGGTGAAAACAGGTTCTGATTATTGTTGGATTTTATTTATTGAATTCTGGACTTTTCCTATTGGAATTGGTTATTGTGAATTTCAGTAGTGTTTTTTATTATTAGCAATTTTTTATTGTGATCATGAGTGGGAATTATTATTTTCAGCTTATCTCAGGCTTGATTTAGATTTACTTGATTAAGAAATTTAAGTTCTCTTTGTCGTTTTCTTAATTTCGATGCCTTTTCTTTTTTTTTTTTGCTTTTAGAAGTTAGAATGGCGATGATGATACGGCTTCAGTATCTAACAAGAAAATACCTACTTTTAGTACTCAGCCTCCTTCAATTTCATCTCTTGAGAATGATGTATAATTTGCTGAGACAATGGATTCAGATTCTGGGATGAATGAATTTTATGATAGATAAAACTCACTAGGAACAGCATAGGTGGATAATTTCATACTCCCTCCATCCCATAAAGATAGTCATGTTTCCTTTTTCGTCTGTCCCAAATTATAGTCCTGGTTCTTATTTGAGTGTAGTTAATATATTTGTTTACTAATACGTATTTAATATGCTTTGTTATCACAAATATAAACTACTCCATTATTCAATTGTATTTGGAATATTAAATTAAAGACCAAAAAAAAATTCATCTTCCATCACATTTATTCATTTGTATTTGTATTGGATGACTTCGGAATGTAAATTACCTTGATTCTTGCATTAAACAATGACTAGTACTAAGAATAGTTTAACTACCCTTAATATTGCATGCATAATTTAATTACCTTGAATATTGATTGCATTAATGTGGGGGGTATATTAGGAAATATGATAGTAAAATTTATTATTTGACCTATATTAACTAAATTTTCTTAATCTGTATGAAAAAAGAAATAGGACTATCTTTATGAGGTGGAGGGAATATTTGAGTCTAGTGTGATATATGAATTTTGTTTGTATATTGGCTTTTTAAAAATTTGAGCCTCCCTAACATTTTGTTCTAGATGACCAATTCTTGAAAGGCACCATTCTAAATACAGATTATGTAGTTTGCTAAATGATTAAGTTGAGCTTGAATCATTAAAAAATTTGCATTTACAATTTTGCGATGACAGTTGTGGTAATTAATTGTCATGTGAAATGTAAATTATTAATCAAGTAAATGACATAACAAAACGGTTTGTGGAGTTGTTTATTCAATGGTCTCTAGTTAAACAATTTTTTAACCTCAAGTAACTAAGATCGAGTAAGTTAGATAAATTGATCGATATTTCGCCAGGAGATTATAAGAGATATACTGATATTGGTAAAAATGTTGATTGATTATACATTTGCAATACACCTTTATATATTTCATAAGTGTAACTATAGATGGAATATACAATTCTGGACAGATTATATGCTATTATTCTATACGTAGCAGATTGATTGACAACTAATAAGATCCATGATTGACAGTCAATACAATTGGAGAATCAATCAAGCTGGTTCCTGATACGACCCCTCAAAATTAATGATCCATCAGAAACATTAATTTTGCTACATAACAGATGAAAGCGGGATCTAGCAAGAGGCTTTGTCAGTAAATCTGCAAGCTGGTCATCCGTGTGAATGTGGGAAACGCGTAGTTGACCACGACGAACATAGTCACAGACAAAATGAAGATCAATGGCGATGAGTTTCATCCTGGAATGCATGACAGGATTGAGGCTAAGCTGTGTGACACCGACATTGTCATAGAGAAGTAAAGGAGGCTTACGGAGCTTAAGACCAAGTTCATCAAGCAAGGATTGAATCCAAGCAATGTCCGTTGTTGCAGTGTGAGGGCTCGATATTCAGCCTCTGTGGAGGAACGAGCCACCGCTTTTTGCTTCCGACTGCATCAGCTGATAAGATTATTGCCTAGAAAAATGATATAAGCTGTTGTAGACTTGCGATCATCAAGATCACCCCTCCGGCATCAGAAAAACCTCGAAGAATAGGATTTACTTGACGATGAAGGAGAATTTCGAAGTGAATCGTTTGCTTGATGTAGCGCAAAAGACGCTTAACATGCTGCCAGTGAGCAACCGTTGGCTTGAGCATAAACTGAGCTAGTGGATTTACTGCAAAACTGATATCCGGGAGGGTTAGAGACAGATATTGCAGGGAGCCAATGGTGCGACGATATTCGTGGCATCATACCCTGCAGTCCCATCATTGAGAAGAAGCTTAGCTGTTATAGACATAGGGGTATGAACCACCTTTGCACCAGCCATCTTCAACCGGGTGAGAATGTCATGGACATAGCGATTCTGAGAGAGGAATAGTCCTTCTTTTACTGGAATGACTTCCACTCCGAGAAGAAAATGTAGATCACATAGCTTCTTGAGAGAAATCTGTTGCCCAAAGACTTAACAAGATGCTGTAAAAACTGAATGTTATTCCCTGTAAGAATTAAATCATCAACGTAGACAAGAATGTAGAAGAGAATTCCATCACGGTTAAATATGAAAAGAGAGCTATCAGATTTGGAATTAGAGAATCCCAAATCTAATAAGCTGGATCGCAATGCATCGTAACAGGCCCTGGGGGCTTGCTTCAAACAATAAGCTGATTTTTGAAGAGCGCAAACATAATCAGGATGTGACTCATCGATAAACCAGCAGGTTGCATCATGAACACTTTCTCGGTTAGTTGGCCATGAAGAAAAGCATTGTTAACGTCGATTTGCTTCAATGGCCAATTGTTGGATAACGCAAGTGATAGTATCAGGCGAATAGTGGTAGGCTTGACTACCGGACTGAAGGTTTCGGTATAATCAACACCCAGGATGCTATTGAAACCTATCGCTACAAGCCGCGCCTTGAATCTGTCCACTGTACCATCAATATGGCGTTTAACCCTGAAAAGCCATCTACTCCCAACTAGATTAGAGTCAGGAAGCTTAGGAACAAGCTTCCAAGTGCCATGTGACACTAAGGCAGTAAACTCATCAGTCATAGCCTTACGCCACCGAGGGTCCTTTAGGGCGTGAGTCACACACGATGGTTCTAAAGGTGGTGAAATGGGGTGCTTAGTGGTGACAGAAATCTGCTTAGGGTGAAAAATATTATTTTGGCATGAGTGACCATATAGTGAGTGCGAGCAGGTGGCACATTTAAGAGAGAGGTAGTGCTAGGTGTTGAACTAGATGGGGAAGTACAAATGTGATCAGAGGACATACCTTGACCATTAGATGGTGATGGGATTGTAGGAGTAGTAGGCGTAGTAGTTGTGTGGACAAGGTCCGTTGAGGCAACAACACGAATGGAAGGAACTGGTGTGATCAAAGTAGGTGATTGATGCACAGGAGAAGGAGGAGAGACATTCAAAACACCCCCATATGATGAATTTTTAAGAAAATAAAGTTTCATCAAATGTGACATGGCGAGACAAATGTAGCCGACCCGTGGATAAATCCAAACATTTGAAGGCATTTTGGGTTAGAGAATAGCCTAGGAAAATGCAGGGACTAGACTTGGTTTGAAGCTTTTGTGTGCGATAAGGAACTAACCAAGGATAGCATTGGCAACCGAATTTGCACAATTTGTGGTAGTCAGGAACTTGTCCAAATAAAGCTTCAAATGGACTTTTACGAGTGAGTAAAAGGGTGGGAAAGCGATTAATAAGATAGATAGCTGTGTCTAATGCATAAGTCCAGTAGGTAGAAGGAACCGAAGCACGGTGTAGGTGAGCCAAACTAGTTTCGACGATGTGACGATGACGACGCTCAACGGTGCCATTTTGTTGGGCGGTATGAGGAGACGTAGTATAATGGCTAATACCATGTGTGGCCAGGAATGAGCGAAGTGCGATGAATTCACCACCATTATCCGTATATAAATTTTTAATAGGAGTGGAAATTATTTTTTCTAGCATTGCAGACAATTGGATAAAAATGGGACGAACATCAGACTTATTCTTCATTGGAAAATACCAACAATGCTAGGTGAGAATGATCAACAAAAGAAACATAATATCGATAACCATCAACAGAAGAAACTGGGGATGACCCCAAACATCAGCATACAAAAATTCAAGGGGAGCATGACTTTTAAGAGAAGTAGGACTAAAGGGCAACTAATGAGACTTATTACATTGACATGAAATACATGAAATCCTGGACTTGGTTGACGACACGGGTAGGGAGTAACTACAGAGTAAGGAAGAGATTTTGAGGTGGAGGAAAGGGTTGTAGAACCAATGTGTGCAACTCTTAAACCCGTACCATCGCCGAGGACAATTTCATCTTGTCCATCATACTCCGAGTGAAGGGAGAGATTAGCTGGATCGGATGTAATGTTGTGGGAGGCAGCGGAATCGAGGAGCCATTTTCCATTCTTTGGGTTAGAAGAAGTAGGACAATTTGCAATAGGTCGGGATGGCAGTTTGTCACAATTCTTAGCACTGTAACCATGCTGGTCACAAAATTGACACACAACAGATGACCTCCAAGCAGATTGATTATTGTTATATTGATGTTTGGACTTGTTCTTGCCCATTTTGGGACGACCATTGAACGACTTCCTCTGAGAAGAATTGGCTGTAACTACCAGGTTCGAAGTGTTTACATCCATGCGTTTGATATATTGTTCATGACCAACTAGAAGGTCATGTAAATCTGTAAAGGACAGGGCAAATTCACGAGTGCGAATTGGAGCTACCATATCTCTAAATTCCGAACCAAGGCCATTTAAGACATACAACGTCGAATCATCATCAGAAACTGGGGCATCAATTAAAGAGAGTTCATCAACGATCACCTTGACAGCATGAAGAAACACAGAGACCATGCGAGAACCCTGTTGAATAAAGGGTTAGGTCTTCTTTGAGCTGCATAATACGAGCCCGAAATTTGCTTGCAAATAAGCGGGCCAGGTGTTGCCAAGCATCATAACTGGTAGAAGTCATGGCGATGAGAGGCAAAATAGTTTCAGAAACTGAGGAGAATATGGCATTAAGAAGCAACTGATCTTGTCGGTACCAGTGTGCAAAATGAGCCTTGATAGCAGCAGAAGACTCAGCAACATGCTTGGGAGGGCATTTGAGGGTGCCATCCAAGTATCCCATCAGATCATATCAAATGAGGATGGTAAGGAATGTTGCGCGCTAAGAAGGATAATTTGAGGAAGTAAGTTTGTAGGGCAGTTGGCTGGAGGTGTTTATAGCTATCAATGGAAGCTCAATGGAATCTGAGGTCAGTTGAGTCACCGGAGAAAGGGAGGAATTCACACTTGTGGCTGGCATGGAGGTTGGAAAAACTTTCTATTCTCATAAGAGAGGAACCTCGTGATACCATATAAGAGATATACTGATATTGGTAAAAATGTTAATTGATTATACATTTGCAATACACCTTTATATATTACATGAGTGTAATTAAAGATGGAATATACAATTCTGGACAGATTATATGCTATTATTCTATACATAGCAGATTGATTGACAACTAATACGATCCTTGATTGACAGTCAATACAATTGGAGAATGAATCAAGCTGGTTCCCTTATAGAGATCTGAAAATTCTGCACTTGCCGGACTGAAATAAGAAGGGAAACAAATCATACGGAATTTGGCCAGAATTTTTTCCTGATAACTGAATTTTGCTGGAATACTAGAGAATGAGGGTAGTGGGATTGACTGGCGGCATCAGTTCGGGGAAGAGCACGGTCTCCAATCTTTTCAAAGCCCATGGTATTCCCATCGTTGATGCTGATGTCGTTGCTCGAGTAGGATTTCAATCTTTTCTCTTTATCGCTCGTCACTTTCACGCAATTCTAAAACCCTAGTTCATGATTTTTTTAATTAAATTTATTGTAAATGATAGAATGTATTGAAGAAAGGCACAGGGGGATGGAGAAAAGTAGTGGCTACATTTGGGGATCATATTTTATTGGATAATGGAGAAGTGGATCGCCCGAAGCTTGGGCAAATCGTCTTCGCCAGTCCTGATAAGCGCCAGCTTCTTAACAGGTACCGCTGTCTATGCACCATTTACAATTCGGGTATTCTTTGACTAATTACATTTTAATCGGTTGTGTATTGGGTAAGAATTTGATTACAACTGCTTTTCAATGAAATTATGTCTAGAAATGGTAAGAAAATTTATATTTGCTGATCTTTGATCTCCATGTTGGTTAGTTTAACATATACAGATTCAGGTTAGTTTTTTCGAGTAATTAGGGTAGCCCAAAAATTCTGCCTGTCATTGAATTTACTGTATTGGTATTCTAAAACTGAAATTGCTGATATCTAAAGTTATATCTTTGACTAATTCACAAGAAACATGATCTGGGGAAGTGTTGAACTCCAGTCAACCATAGAAGGATTCTGCTGAACTGTTGCTATATTAAAAATCAATATATATATATTTTTGCATGTATATGTATCACTTTATCACGTATATTATTTTTTGGGCAGTAATGTCTTCTGTTATAGGTTGTTGTTAAATTAGATGACGGGGCAGAGTGAATAGGGGTGTGTTGAAGATACATTTGGTTGCTTGGCGGGTAACTAACCTGTCTTATTATGCATATATTTTGAATTTATGATCTGGTTC